GACACACCTGACTTTTTATTTTCTTTTATTTTTTCCATATTAAATGAGGATAGAAGTTATCCTCGCTGCGAGCAGCAGCAAAGAGGTGACCTCCTCTCCAACCACCGTAAGGGGAGGAGGACACACCTGACTTTTTATTTTCTTTTATTTTTTCCATATTAAATGAGGATAGAAGTTATCCTCGCTGCAAGCAGCAGCAAAGAGGTGTCCTCCTCCCCGACCACCATAAGGGGAGCAGGACAGATCCTGCTTTTGGTTTCTTTTTTTTTCCTCCACAGAAAATGAGGACAGAAATTATCCTCACTGCAAAGCAGAAACAACAAAGGGTGCGGAGGCCCCAACAGAGATTACTCCGCTCCATGGAGCCCTCCCTCAACCTTCACCAAGGTGAGCACACAGAGACAATCCCCCTGTTGTCCCTGGTAACGGAACGTGGACACAGTTAACCTGAGCCTTCATCTCCACACAGGTTGAGGCTGGAGACAATCCAACCCCTCCATCACAGAGGAGTTGGAACGGTGGATGCAGAGGCCTCAACTCCTCCGCTCCACCTACCTTACTCTACCTTAACCTACTCTACCTTAACCTACTCTACCTTAACCTACTCTACCTTAACCTACTCTACCTTAACCTACTCTACCTTATCCTACACTACCTTACCCTACTCTACCCCAGAACCACACCAAATTTATCCCCTGTCCCCCTCCCCACACCACATTAGGGGAGGAGGACAGATATGACTTTCCTCTCTTATAATAGTTATATATATATATATATATATAAGTATTTAGATAATAATTATATATCATTAAGTTAATGAGGATATCCTCAAAATTTGGAAATTATCCACATAGACATCAGTTCCTCCAGGCCTCAACAAGGTGAGCACAAACAGAGATGATCCTCTCCCCCCACCCTCCCCAATAATGGGGAGTGCACAGAGTTAACCTGAGCCTTCATCTCCACACAGGTTGAGGCTGGAGACAATCCAACCCCTCCATCACGGAGGAGTTGGAACGGTGGATGCGGAGACCTCAACTCCTCCGCTCCACCAATCCTACTCTACCTTACCCTACTCTACGTTATCCTACTCTACGTTATCCTACTCTACGATGTCCTACTCTACTCCAGAACCCCGCCAAATTTATGTCAGACTTATCCTGTCCCCCTCCCCACCCCACATAAGGGGAGGAGG